ATTTGTTTGCGACGTCATTTGATGAATCAGAACTTACACCGTTGAGTTGTTGTTGTTGAGTTGTTAATGTCTTCCACGTGTTTCAAGTATTTTATTGGAATGTGTTACAGCCAAGATTGTATTGTCCAATCAAGTTTCAAGTATTTTATTGGAATGTGTTTCCAACTAGTTTGTATTGTCCAATCAAAATACTCACTCAATTTAATGTTTTGATTTGACCAATCAGACTTAAACAATTCAAATTTAGTCACGCCCACGAAGGCGGGCGAAGTATATAAATCAACACGTGAGAATTTACCGGTGTAAACAACTTGCAGACCCTTTGCAACGTCGTGCGAGTGAAATATTCTATCGCAATCTCAGTCTTACACCTTCCGAAAGAAGAAAGTAAACTCAAACCTCAACATGGTAAGTAACACATATTGTAGTTATTTCTTATGTAAAAATTGGCATGAAACTGTATGTATTTACACGAGAATATGATCGCAAAAGGGGAGGAACTTTGAAACCTCACAATCATAATGATGCCGACATTTTGTATTTCGTTGACCTCCAGCTAGTCAATGTCATAGTGTGGATAACAGTTGAACTCTTCCGTGCATCATTTTCGTTTGATACATATATGTTAGTATTGTTACAGTCTATCGTCTGAATCCTACACGGGATCCCACGCGTCGATGTGATTTTAATCGAGATAAACATCGTCTATTCCATGTTTTTCTTTAGGGGATCTCATCCAAACCTACAAAATCATAAAAGGTCTTGACAGGATTAACATCACAGACATTGCTGAAAAATCTGAAGCTCATAGAACCAGAGGAAACACTGAGAAGCTCAATACAAGATACAGTAGACTGAATGTCAGGAAGAATGTTTTCGGAAACAGAATTGTGAAAGACTGGAACAATCTCCCACAGACTGCAATAGATGCTGACAATGTCAACCAGTTCAAGGCGCAAATTGACAAAAACTTCCACAACCTAAAGTACCACTACAACTAGATGACAGCCCCTTTAACCCATGTCCAGTGAGCTTTCAAGAAAACAACCCCCCCACCTTTTTCCCACTTAGTTTAAGACCTTATAACAAGATCTGGATAATATAGGATTCTTCCTTCTTCCAGAAGAAATGGTATACAGGTATACAGGTATGTCAGATGTAGGCTAGGACTAGATCATCATCCATCTTGGATGAAGTTTTCATATATTGAAATCTGAGGCTGAAATCTTTACCTAAAATACTTTGGGCTAGGATGAACCCATACCAGTCAATCAAACAAATTTCAATGTTCCCATACCAACCAATAAACTCCCCAAAGCTGTCATGCCAAATGTCAAAAATAGGGGCTCAGTGCCACTGTGGGGCATTGTCAGCCAGATTCTAAAATTTGGGTCCATTGCGATACCAAATGACATGATTCGAGGATCCCGTCAAGGTTTATATACAAAGTGAACCCCAGGGCCAAAATCTGAGTATTTTGTTTTGTTATTATTCATAACGAGATAAAGTTTCCACAAATATATTTAAAGTGAATTTTTTCACTTCCTCATCAGTGGCCAAATGATATCAAAGTTATTAGGCTATAGACTAGAGTGGGCTAAAAAATCACTGAAATACAACAATGTCATCCAAATTGTGTTTTGCTCATGCCTGGTGTTAATTGTTCTTGCAGAGAGAATGTATCAGCATCCATGTCGGCCAAGCCGGTGTCCAGATGGGCAATGCCTGCTGGGAGTTATACTGCCTTGAGCACGGAATCCAGCCTGATGGTCAGGTGCCAAGTGACAAAACCATTGGAGGTGGTGACGATTCCTTCAACACATTCTTCAGTGAGACTGGAGCTGGGAAACACGTTCCAAGAGCTGTGTTTGTTGATCTTGAACCAACTGTTGTAGGTAAGAACATGGCATACCTGATAGATTTAGAATTCAATAGAAAATAATTATCCCATCGAACGAAGTTCGGAGGGATATAGGGAACGACTCCGTCCGTCCATCCGTCCGTCCGGGCAATTACTCAAATTCCGCTGGCCCGATTTTGTTCATATTTTGTACACATATACCAAATGGGAGTAGAAGTTCTGCTCGAAAACCAATTTTCAAAATGGCCGCTCAAAAGAAAATGGCGGCCATTTTAGTGCCGATTTTACAGTAATTTACAGGGTGGTCAAAAAAATGGAAACCCTATTACCATTTTCCTCATATCTTTGTTATTTTGAAAAAAAACTCCCTGATATTTTACACTTTTGTACATCATTCAATTTGCTACCAGCCTACCTTATTTCATGACCATCAGATTGATAGTCACAATGTTACAGTACTTTAAAGAACATGCCCAGTGGCCACTATTGCGTTGTGGGGAAACCTGTACTCATCGTCTAAAATGTCCCTACCTGTGGGGATATGGCAGAGATAGAGTATATGAGAATGACCTCAGGACAATTGCGAACCTCAAAAGTGAGATCATCTGTTTCATTCAGGCCATACCTGCTGAGGAATGCATTCGGCTCATTGACAACTGTGCTGTTTTGCCTACAGCACGATAATGGTCAAATCTGAAGCATGTTATTCAAAGTGCTGTAAAATTGTGACTATCAGTCTGATGGTCATGAAATGTGGTAGGGTGGTAGGAAATTGAATAATGTACAAATGTGTGAAATATCAGGGAGTAATTCCTTAAAGTGACAAAGATATAAGGAAAATGCAGGGTTTTGACCACCCTGTAGGTACAGTATATAAAACTGTAATAGCAATATGTTTTAAGTTACATAAAACATTGATTAAGGTAGAAATGTAATAGAAGAGATACATGGCAGCCATCTTGAAAAATGGCTGCCTTTGCACGTCATTTTACGATTTTTGCTGTAACTAGAAAAGTAGTGGAGCGATTTTGTGCATATTTGGTATGTGAATACTTTAAGCATGGCACAATGTCTATTGACATTTTGAGTAGTAGGCGGCCATTTTGAAAAATGGCTGCCATTTTTACGTGTGTTATTTTTACAATTTTTACTAGCCTATAACTTGAAAAGTAGTGGAGCGATTTTGTTCATATTTGATATGTGAATACTCATGAGCCTTGCACACTGTCTCATGACACTTGCATAGTTGGGGGCCATTTTAAAAAAATGGCTGTCATTTTTACATTTTTTACGATTACTTGAAAAGTATTGGAGCGATTTTGTTCATATTTGATATGCAAGTACTTTAAGCATGGCACATTGTCTAATAAAACTTTGGGGAGTAGTCGGCCATTTTGAAAATGGCCAGCATTGGCGATTTTTTTAGAATTTTTATATGTGGCTACTTAAAAGCATATTACTTCTTCTGATGACAACTTGGCTAGTGATCAACCATTTTGTAAATGGTGGCCTTTCTTATGGGTGTTATTTTATGATATTTGCTATATATTTCAAATGTAAAAATGCTAGCCATGTCATTTTTACATTTTTTACGATAACTTGAAAAGTATTGGAGCGATTTTGTTCATATTTGATATGTGAATAATCGTAAGGATTGCATACTAGTATCTTATGACATTTTGGGTAGTAAACGGCCATTTTAAAAAATGGACAGCATTGGCGATTTTTTTAGAATTTTATATGTGGCTACTTAAAAGCATATTACTTCTTCTGATGACAACTTGGCTAGCTTATGGGTGTTATTTTATGATATTTGCTATATATTTCAAATGTAAAAATGCCAGCCTAATTTCTGTTCGATGGGATTCGCTACGCTTTGGCGTTGCCGTTGTTCTGGTTACAAGAAGACTGCTAAATGAACAAAAGCACTGTGTTGGAGACTGAATATTCCTCAATTTTACTAACCTTAAAATATAATTATCCCATCGAACGAAGTTCGGAGGGATATAGGGAACGCCACCGTCCGTCCGTACGTACGTACGTCCGTCCGTCCGGGCAATAACTCAAATACCGTTGGCCCGATTTTGTTCATATTTTGTACACATATACCCTATGGGGGTAGAAGTTCAGCTCGAAAGCAGATTTTCAAAATGGCCGCTAATTTCAAAATGGCGGCCATTTTAGTGCCGAATTTACAGTAATTTAGGTGCAATATGTAAAACTGTAATAGCAATATGTTTTAGATGTAAAAAAATTATATAGGACATTAATAAAGCTAGAAATGTAGATATTAAAGAAGCACATGGCAGCCATTTTGAAAAATGGCGGCCTTTACTCGTTATTTTACGAATTTTGCTGTAACTTGAAAAGTAGTGGAGCGATTTTGTTCATATTTGGTATGTGAATACTATAAACATTGCACACTGTCTAAAGACACTTTTGGTAGAAGGCGGCCATTTTGAAAAATGGCTACCATTTTAACGTATTTTACTATAACTCAAAAAGTAGTGGAGCGATTTTGTTCATATTTGGTATGTGAATACTATAAGCATGACACACTGTCCTATGACACTTTTGGTAGAAGGTGGCCATTTTGAAAAAAATGTTGAAAAATGGCCGCCATTTTAACATATTTTACTATAACTCGAAAAGTAGTGAAGCGATTTTGTTCATATTTGGTATGTGACTACTATAAGCATGGCACACTGTCTAATGACACTTTTGGTAGAAACCGGCCATTTTTCAAAATGGCCGCCATTTTAACGTATTTTACTATAACTCGAAAAGTAGTAGAGTGGAGGTATGACACTTTTAACGTTTTTTACTATAACTTGAAAAGTAGTGGAGCGATTTTGTATATGAATACTATAAGCATGGCACATGGTCTAATGACACTTTTGGTAGAAGGCGGCCATTTTGAAAAATGGCTGCCATTTTTGCTATATACTTTGTTTGTAAAAATGCCATCCATGGCTGTTCGATGGGATTCGCTACGCTTTGGCGTTGCCGTTGTTCTGGTTGAAATTTGTTATTTGAACTCTTGAAAAATTAGATGTTTTGGCTCACCTGAACAATATCAAATTATTTTAGATTGAAATTTAATAATTTAATAACAGATCTTGTATTTATGATTTTTGTGATTTTTTTCAGATGAGGTCCGAACTGGTACCTACCGCCAACTATTCCACCCTGAGCAGTTGATCACTGGTAAGGAAGATGCTGCCAACAACTACGCCCGTGGTCATTACACAATCGGGAAAGAAATCGTTGACCTTGTCCTTGATCGCATCAGGAAGTTGGCCGATCAGTGCACTGGTCTCCAGGGATTCCTCATCTTCCACTCCTTCGGTGGTGGAACTGGGTCTGGATTCACCTCATTGTTGATGGAGCGTCTTTCCGTCGACTATGGCAAGAAGTCTAAGCTGGAGTTTGCCGTCTACCCTGCTCCTCAGATTTCCACCGCTGTTGTTGAGCCATACAATTCTATCCTGACTACCCATACCACCCTTGAGCACTCCGACTGCGCCTTCATGGTTGACAACGAGGCTCTCTATGATATCTGCCGTCGTAACTTGGACATTGAGCGCCCAACATACACCAACTTGAATCGTCTGATTGGACAGATTGTCAGCTCCATCACCGCCTCTCTGCGTTTCGATGGTGCCCTGAACGTCGATCTGACTGAGTTCCAGACTAACTTGGTACCCTACCCACGTATCCATTTCCCACTGGCCTCATACGCACCAGTCATCTCTGCCGAAAAGGCCTACCACGAGCAGCTCTCAGTCGCTGAGATCACCAACGCTTGCTTTGAGCCAGCCAACCAGATGGTGAAGTGCGATCCCCGTCACGGAAAGTACATGGCCTGTTGCATGTTGTACCGTGGTGATGTCGTCCCCAAGGATGTCAACGCTGCCATTGCTACCATCAAGACCAAGCGTACCATCCAGTTCGTTGACTGGTGTCCCACTGGATTCAAGGTTGGCATCAACTACCAGCCACCCACCGCTGTCCCCGGAGGTGATTTGGCCAAGGTCCAACGTGCTGTATGCATGTTGAGCAACACCACTGCCATCGCTGAAGCCTGGGCTCGTCTTGACCACAAGTTCGATCTCATGTACGCCAAGCGTGCTTTCGTCCACTGGTACGTCGGAGAAGGTATGGAGGAGGGAGAGTTCTCGGAGGCTCGTGAGGATTTGGCTGCCCTGGAGAAGGACTATGAAGAGGTCGGTGTCGACTCTGTTGAGGGAGAAGGTGAAGAGGAAGATGAATATTAAAGATTCCATGATATTTATTGATCCATAGTACATCCATGTTTTACAAAATACAAGATCTCAATCTTAGTGTACTCCTTATTTCAACACAGTGCTATTTTAGTGAACATTAATCTACGAAAAGAGACTACTTTATATCAGCCCACGGCAGTACTATGGGTATCAATATAGACTAAGTCGTGTGAATGACCCAAGAAAATATTTTGCTTTGTGCAATATACAGTTGCAATTGAGTTTTATATTATATTTTGTTGCAATATTTTTTAACAAAAAGTGCTAATACCTGTACTATAGGTGTCATATACTTACCTTTAAAGGTAACAACATACATATTTCATAAATTAATAAATTACATTCAAAGTGAAAAGTATTGGTTATTAGTGTATTTATTTAGGTTAGGTTATTAAACTGTTAAATAGATAATATTGCAGATCTTTTGGAAGATTTACATTTAACATCGTGAAGAACGCGATGCTTGCTCAATTGGAAACATTGCTTGCAAATTTTGTCAACCTTTATAGATGTGATTCCACCTTTAAATGAGATATTAGCAAAGACTACTACATAGAGATGTAATTGTTGTTTCCAAAAACCGAAGTTTGAATGATTTTATCTTGCTTTGATATTTCCAGAAGAAGATATCGGTCCATTTATCGAATAATTTAAGACACCAGGTTGAGCCACTTGAGTTTTTGAGAAGGTCCCTTGTAAAAGTTGACAAATCAATCTATTGACCTACTACCTGATAACAAGAAAGTTAGGTTTACACTTATTAGACTCCAGATGAAATCTGGAGTCTATTGTTTTTGCCTGTTTTCTTATTATTTTTATTATTCTTCTTTTTTCTTCCTCCTAACAGATTTTCTCTCCAACTATAACATCTTACTTAATCCAACTTACATGGTTAACTAAAGACTGTATCCGGCTTTCTGGGAAATTAGGTCAAATTTTTATCTAGGTCAAAGGTCAAGAACTAGGTCAAATCTTACATTTTCAACATTCTTCATCATATCTTCGTCAATATTCTTCGTAACTCCTTCATCTTTTTTTTATCGTGTAGCTTAGAAAAAGGCAAATCAAAGATATGACATCAGAATTTTGATTACTCTTACCGATTTTGAGATATGGCGTCCGGAAAGTAGGTCAGAACAAAAAGTTCTCCAAATTCAACATGTGAGTTATGCAATAAGTGTAGAATGATCTCAGGAATCCGAATCTGCAAACCAAATTTGAATCGGACTTCCGGTTCGGAAGTTATGGCGTTTTGAAAGCTCAAAAATCGCTAAATTTGGTGCCTATGTTAAGTCAATGGGAAAAAAGACTTTTTCGAAGTGTAAAATACAAGATATAGACTGAGTACAGCTTAACATAATGATTGAATGCTTATAAAAGAAGGGGACCTCAAAAGCTACATAATTTCAAAATTTGGACACCAAAATGCCTAGGTCAAAATCTAGGTCAAATTCATAGTTTTTCCTTATTTTTACGATTCTGATACTACACTTTAATAATTTACTTCAAAATTTTGTATACAGGTAGCAAAGAGTATGCTAATAGTGTTAGCCTTTTGCCGTCAGAAAGTATTTTGACCTACTTTTGAGATATGGTGTCCGAAAAGTAGGTCAAAATAAAAAGTTCTCCAAATTCAACGTATGAGTTATGAATTAAGGGTAGAATTTTCTAAGGAATCCGAATCTGCAAACAAAATTTCGATCCGACTTCCGGTTCGAAAGTTATGGCGTTTTGAAAGCTCAAAAATCGCTAAATTTGGTGCCCCATGTCATGTCAATGAGAAAAAGGATTTTTTTGAAATGTCAAATACCAGATATAGACTAAGTACAGCTTAGTATTCTAAAAGCCTATAAAGGAGGGGACCTCGAAGGCTACCTAGCTTTAAAATTTGGACGCAAAAATGCCTAGGTCAAAATCTAGGTCAAATTCATAGTTTTTCCTTATTTTTGCGATTCTGACATTACACTTTAAGGATTTGCTTCAAAATTTTGTATACAGGTAGCAAAGAGTGTGCTTATAGTGTAAGCCTTCTGCCGTCAGAAAGTATTTTGACCCACTTTTGAGATATGGTGTCCGAAATGTAGGTCAAAATAAAAAATTCTCCAAATTTAACGTATGAGTTATGAATTAAGGGTAGAATTTTCTCAGGAATCAGAATCTTTAAATCAAATTTCGATCTAACTTCTGGTTAGATAGTTATAGCGGTTTGAAGTCTCGAAAAGTCGATATGATGATATCCCCATGTTAAGCTTATAGAGTTGAAGATAGCCTTCTTAAAAGTTGTCTAAATGTCTATATTCTAGCTGACTCAGCTTATTCTGAATGATTCAGCTTACAAGTTTTTGATGACTCAGCTTAAAAAAAGTTTGAAATCTGGAGTCTTAAATTGAACTTGTTCAATTTACATGTCTAGTTATTCATTCTTTCTTTCTTTCTTTCCGAACACTTTTTCTCAGCAACTAGAAGAACTTACTTTAACCTACTTACATGGCTAACATAGCCCATCAACCTAGTTTCTGGGAAATTAGGTCAAATTTTTATCTAGGTCAAAGGTCAAGAACTAGGTCAAATTTAGGTAAAATCAACATTCTGTCAATTATCTTCGTTGCTTATTGTCGTTACTCCTTCATCTTTTTTTCATCATGTAGCTTAGAAAAAAACAAATCGAGAGTGTGCCATCCGTTTTTTGATTACTCTTAGCGATTTTGAGATATGGCGTCCCGAAAGTAGGTCAAACTAAAAAAGTTCTCCAAATTTAACATATGAGCTATGGAATAAGGGTAGAATTTCCTCAGGAATCCGAATCTGCAAACCAAATTTCGATCCGACTTCCCGTTCGAAAGTTATGGCGTTTTGAAATTTCGAAAAAAATCGATCTGATGTTATCCTGATAGAAAGTCAAGGAAAAAAGATTTTTTTGAAGTGTAAAATACGAGAGATAGATTGAGTACAGCTTAAGATAATGAATTCCTATAAAAGAAGGGGACCTCAAAAGCTACCTAGTTTCAATATTTGGACACCAAAATGCCTAGGTCAAAATCTAGATCAAATTCATAGTTTTTCCTTATTTTTGCGATTCTGGCACTACACTTTTAGGATTTGCTTCAAAATTTTGTATACAGGTAGCAAAGAGTGTGCTAATAGTGTTAGCCTTTTGCCGTCAGAGAGTATTTTGACCCACTTTTGAGATATGGTGTCCGAAAAGTAGGTCAAAATAAAAAATTCTCCAAATTTAACATATGAGTTATGAATGAAGAGTAGAATTTTCTCAGGAATCCGAATCTGCAAACCAAATTTCGATCCGACTTCCGGTTCCAAAGTTATGGCGTGTCCGAAAAGTAGGTCAAAATAAAAATTCGCCAAATTTAACGTATGAGTTATGAATTAGGGGAAGAGTTTTGTCAGGAATCCGAATCTTTAAATCAAATTTCGATCCGACTTCCGATTCGGAAGTTATGGCGTTTTGAAATTTCGGAAAATTGATCTTATGGTATCCTGATAGAAAGTCAAGGAAAAAAGATTTTTTTGAAGTGTAAAATACGAGATATAGATTGAGTACAGCTTAAGATAATGAATTCCTATAAAAGAAGGGGACCTCAAATGCTACCTAGTTTCAATATTTGGACACCAAAATGCCTAGGTCAAAATCTAGGTCAAATTCATAGTTTTTCCTTATTTTTGCGATTCTGGCACTACACTTTTAGGATTTGCTTCAACATTTTGTATACAGGTAGCAAAGAGTGTGCTAATAGTGAGAGCCTTTTGCCGTCAGAAAATATTTTGACCCACTTTTGAGATATGGTGTCCGTAAAGTAGGTCAAAATAAAAAGTTCTCATAATTTAACTTATGAGTTATGAATTAAGGGTAGAATTTTCTCAGGAATCCAAATCTGCAAACCAAATTTCAATCCGACTTCCGGTCAAAAATTCCTACTTACCTACCTACTCGGCTACCTACTTAGCTACTTACTCAGCTACCTACTCAGCTACTTACTCAGCTACCTACTCAGCTACTTACTCAGCTACCTGCTCAACTACTTATTCAGCTACTTACTCAATTACTTACTCAATTACTTAATCATCTACTTACTCAGCTTCCTACTCAGTTACTTACTCAGCTCTTTACTCAAGTAAATCAATCTGGAGTCTTAAATTGAACTTTGTTTAATTTACCAATCTAGTTATGTTTGAGCTTTTATATCCACTCTGACTTCGTTGACATATCAATCTCTACCAGTCAACACATCAAGTGCGGTAACTCAGTTATAAGGGCCAGTAGGTTTGATTTATTTTATGATGTTTATACTTGATGGTGTTGTGCCTTGTTCTAATAGTAACAAATCTGTTACACTTGTTGATTAAGGTTTAAGACTTTTGTCCCTGTAGCACTGCTACCCACCTAGTTACACAGACGTATCGTCAGCGTATCATGGCTGAACTACTTCCGGGATTTGAATTTGGTAAGATATTTTTATTTCTCTTTTGTTACACTGACGATCGGCATTAATATTGCCAATATTACACTGTTATTGGTCGTTCGTCAGTGTAACAAAAGCGAGGGACTAAATACTCGAATTGTGTCTTCGTTAACATATAAAACCTAAAACCATCGACATATTCTCAAACTAGACTATCTTCCTTAACTTCGAGCCAAATTATTATCCACAACGTGACTTATAAGTAGTTGTAAATCGGGAAATAAAAAAATCTTACCGAAACCTAGTCCCGGAAGTAGTTCCGCCATGATACACTGACGATACGTCTGTGTAACTAGGTGGGTAGCAGTGTGTAGGATATCATCGGCATATTTTTGACTTATGGAAATAATGATTTTGCTGTCGTGCTTTCTCTGAGGTCCCCTCGCTAAAGAATTTGAAAAATGCTCACGTCTCAAGAAAATCATTAAAAGAAAAATCTGTGCCATTAAATCAAATTAATGATTGAAAATTGTTCTCCCAAAATTATACTAAGTCTCCCCCCCCCCATTCGCTCTCAAAGGCTTGTGTGTGACATTTTGGTCAAATGATGATTTTTTAAAAATTTTGAACATTAAATGTTATTGGATGAATATAATATGAGCAAATTAGTTGAATATGTCGTTCTAATACTCCAACCATCTTTGCCTTGCTAGGCTGTGATCTGTCACAATGGAAATATGCAGCTATGAGAATTTTTGGAAAAATGTTGAATGACCAAAGTAAAGTTATCGGGATTATAAACAGATATCTCCCGAAAAACCATTGTTGACATGTCGAGCCCATCTTAAGACATTTTTCAAAATGTCAGACTTATTTTCTAAAAGGAGACCACTCCTTTGCTCATTTTTACCATATCAAGTTTTTCCTGCAATCTGTTCACCTTTTGAAAGGGAGAAGGGCATTGAGATTTATAAATGAAGTTGAAAATACCATATCCAATGTTATTTTCCCATTGA